CAGTAGGGGCCAGAAGCCCCATGCATATCATTATCCTGCTCCCAGGTCATCCGCAGCAGCCAAACACCATCTGCCGCCAAAAAGGCACAGAGGTCCCCAGGACCCACCAACCAAGGCCCGGGATGGGGGTGACTCTGCCAGTGTACAAGCCTGGGTCCCTCCCTCCTGCCCCCGGCCATTCTCAGCACCTAGATATGAGACCTTCTATAGCAAAGAAATGGAGGTATCCTAGAGAAAATGTAACTTGCAGAGGTCCCAGGGATTCTGAGCTGACATTCAAGGTGTCCTGGCAGTTCCTGATCACAACCAAAGCCCTCCTGTGTTGCACAAGGCAGGCTACACAAGAAGGCTCCTCTGGAAGGAACCAAACAGGCCAGAGGTAGACCCACCTGTGTCAGCAAGGACCTGGTCACCTGCCCCACCCATATGACCCCGACACCCCCACCAAGCAGAGGGCCAGGGGCCAGAACATGCCCCTCAAAGCCAAGTCACCACAACTGGTTGCTAGGGAGCCAAATAAACCTCTGGGAAAAGCAGCCCAACGGCCTGCAGGCAGGCCTTGGTGCTGGGGCCTCAGGTTCAAGCCCACCCCTGCTCCACTGCCACCCCACCCTGGTGGTCAGACGGCAGGGCTGAGCTTGCCTGGCTATCATGAGGCCCAAGAGAGAATGCACGCTGGGAGAAGTGGCCCTGCTGACCCATCTCATGCTACATCAGTGCAGAGGTCAGGGGATCATCTGGCCAGCAGGGGCCTGCCTGCTGTCACATCTCAGCACAGTGCGGTGTCTCAGCAACTTGAGAGACAGGAACTACAACTGGCTCCCTGTTCACTGATGAGGAACTCAAGACACAGAAAGAGCAAAGCTGAAGGGGTTCCCCAGAGAGCCCCCAACTCCCAGGTTCCCCCAGCAGTCTCAGGACAGAACCAGGCTCACCTGGCACAGCGGACCCAGTTGATGTGCTGGCTCAGGGAGAACAGGAACCTCTGGCGATGAGTTGACCACACCTTGACAGTCTTGTCGTCAGAGGCCGTCACGAGAGACTGGCCATCACTGCAGAAGTGGACACTCCTCACTGTGGCCGTGTGCGCACGGAACACAGTTGAATCCCCTTTGCTGTGAAGACAGGCAACCCAGTCACAAAACCCCTCCAGGAACAAACAGGCCCATTGTCCAGTGAAGCTCTCCTTACCCTCAGGAACCCTCCCAAAGTCAACCCAGAGCAGGCACCCAAAGGAGACGCCAAGCCTCTACAGCAGGATCAGGGCACTGCTCCCCAGCCCACCCACATTCAACCAGTATCAGGCAACACGCCTCCAAGACGAGCGGGGGCTGCTCAAGGGACTCTCTCCTGACCCAGCTGAAGCCCCAGCCCCCTTGTGGCAGGGTAGATGTCCCACTGTGACCAGTCGGAAGCCAGGATAGAGGGCCTCTGATGAACCCCTCAAGGACTGCAACTACTCACACGTTGGGTACCCAGATTCGGACGGTCTTGTCACGGGAGCCTGAAGCAAGCAGGTGTCCCGAGGGGGAGAAGTTGACGCAGGTGACAGCATCCTTGTGGCCGGAGAAGCGGTAGGCCCGTGACTGGGGCTTCATGTGCCAGACCATGAGGCATGAATCCATGGAGCCACTGGCTGAGGAAAGCAGAAGACGCTTTGACTTTTGGCTTTGGCGGGGCTCAAGCCTCAACCAGGAAACTGGCGCTGCAGGGGCAGCTACAGGTCCAGCTCTATCTTGCCCAGCACCCACAGACAGGCGGCTGCCACAGGGAGCTGGTAAGCCTGTAGTCACGGTTCTCCCAGTAGCAGGCTCACACAGGACACAGACGGAAGGGGTCCCTTCACATGCCAGACCTTGGCTACAATCCAGATCTCTAGAAACCTTGGCCCCACACAGGCTTAGATGGCCTCACAGATACACGGTTTAGGGTACTTGAGACTGAGTCCCCCAAGTGCTATAGAGCCAGGCTACTCAATGAGCCTTTTAGCATGGAGAAGGCCACAAGGAGGTCCACAAAACAAACCAAAGTTACTTTCATTCCCTTAATTTGTAACTATGCAGCCTGTGGCAGGGAACCTTCACAATAGGATAAAGGGGTGAGCCTCAACTATGGGAACAGGAAAGCTGCTGTGTCAGAGACACACATGGGACCCAGCATGGTAGCTTAGTGGCTAAAGTCCTTGCCTTGTATGCACCAGGATCCCATGTGGACGCCAGTTCATATCCCAGCTGCTCAACTTCCCTTCCAGCTCCCTGCATGGCTTTGTGAGCCTGCACCCATGTGAGCGAGCCAGAAGAGGCTCTGGGCTCCTGATCAGCTCAGTTTTGGTCGTTGCAGCTGTGTGGGGAATAAATCAACAGACAGATCTTCCTTTCTATCTCTCCGCCTCTCTGTATATCTGCCTTTCCGATAACAATAAATAAATCTTAAGAAAAAAACAAAAACTCCAATGTGATCAAGCAAGAGAGGGAGCACTGAGGCAGCGAAGGAAGGTCCGGCTCAGCTTAATAGCAAGAGGCAACAGGACCCATCAGGTCTCAAGCAGGGACGGGCATTTAGGCACAGCAGGTTAAGCCACCATTTGGGATATCTGCATCCCATATGCAAGTGCCAGTTTTGAGTGCCAGTTCCTCTGCTTCCAATCTAGCTTCCTGCTAATGCATCCTGGGAGGCAGCGAAAAATGGCTCAGTACTTTGAGTGCCTAAGGTTCTGCCACCATGTGGGAGACCTCAATGGAGCCCTGGGCTCCTGGTTGCAGCCTGGCCCAGTCCTGGCTATTAGAGGCATTTGGGAAGAAAACCAACAAATACACAACTTGCTCGCTTTCTCCATTTTCCCCAACTCTGCCTTTCAAATAATTTTTTTAAATGTGACATTTTATTTGTGGTAAACCTTTTTTTTAAAAGATCTTCTTTTTTATTTTTTATTTTATTTATTTATTTATTTATTTATTTTTGCAAAGTCAGATATATACAGAGGAGGAGAGAAGGAGAGGAAGATCTTCCATCTGATGATTCACTCCCCACCAAGTGACCACAATTATAGGTACTGTGCCAATCTGAAGCCAGGAACCAGGAATTTCCTCTAGGTCTCCCACATGGGTACAGGGTCCCAAGGCTTTGGGCTGTCCTCTACTGCTTTCCCAGGCCACAAGCAGAGAGCTAAATGGGAAGTGGAGCAGACAGGACATGAACTGACGTCATATGGGATCCCAGTGCATTCAATGCGAGGACTTTAGCCACTAGGCCACCACGCTGAGCCCTCAAATAATTTTTTTAAATCTTTAAAAAAAAAAAAAAAGACTCAAGGGAAACGGCCCCTGTTTCCAAGAGATGGCTATGATATTCAAAGAAAAGCCCAAGCTCACCCTCCAGGGCTGGGGGACCCAACAGGACCCCAACCCGCCAGGAGCCTCACACTCTGGTAGGATCTAGAGGGCTGGCAGGAGGAAGCAGCAGGCAGGTGTGTCCGCAGCAGCTGCATATCCGTTGTGCTCTGCCCACTAATCCCCCAACACCAGATGTCCCAGGTAGGAGCTCAGAATCTCACTCCTGTCTGGGACAGGATGCCTCCTCTTACCCAGCTGCTTCGTGTTGAGGTTGAAGTCCACACAGGTAACTGCATCTCGGTGGCCCTTAAAATGCCTCTCCAGCGAGGGGTCCTCCTGGGGGAGAGTCAGGGACAGTGTGAGAAGTCTGGGTGAGTAAGGGGCTGCCACAAGGCAGAGATCCATCCTGCAGCAGAGATGAAGGGCTAAAACAGCTCAAGGTGTGATCCTGCAGACAGGAAACCCTAGCAAAAGATGCATTAATTCCAAATAAATGTCCAAAGTATTAAAACTATATCAAACAGGAGCCGGTGTTGTGGCAGGGCACATTAAATCCTCGCTTGCAATGCTGGCATCCTATTGCCGATCACAGGCTGATTTGCTTCCCAATCCAGCTCCTGCTAATGGGCCTCGGAAGGCAGCAGATGGTGGCCCAAATTCTTGGGTCCTTAACACCTGGGTGATCCGGTTGCTAGATTAACAGCAACCGGATGAGAAAAAGTCAAAAGCCTGCATCCTAGCCTGGGCCCTCTACTGAGTCTTCAGACTCCTAAGGGACCCCGGGCTACTACCCAGCCCATTCAAAGACTGTTTGGGCTCTGGAGGGGTATGGCCCGGCCAAGGCCATATTGCAGGTATGCCTACCCGATGAGACACGACGTGCCTTCAACAAGACCATCCAGCCACCCCACTCAGCACCGGGACCGGTCCCACATCACACAGGAGGCGGGCCTCACCCAGATGCAAACCCTGGCTCCTGGGATTCTGTTCGCCCCACAAGCCTCGCACAAGTCACCCCTCCCTCCAGCGACGCCTGCAAAGATGGTAAACTGAGGCTGCGCAAGCTGGTCCTGGAACCCGGAGCCTCTCTCGCAGCTGTCCCTTCGTCCGACTAGGTGTCCATCGGCCGAGAGTGGAGACTAAGGACCTGGCGGCCGCTGGCTAGGACTTACCAGGCTGGGCGCGGCCATGGCACGGCCGGCAGCGCCGCCGCCGCCCGAGAAGCCGCAGCCAGAAGCCGAGGCCGTTGCAGCCGGTTCAGTTTCCGCGCCCCTAACCGCCGCCAATAGCAACGCGGGGCGCGACGCTGCGCCCCGCCCACCGCAGTTAAAGGGGAAGCCCCTGGGTAGTTTGACCCTCTGCCGGAGCAAGAGCTGTAATATCGGAGCCCCGGCTCCGCGCCCAGCTAGACCAGACCAGGGCACCTCCAGACGCTGCCACGAAAGGCCTCTCTCCGCCGCCACCCGTTCCTCTTGAGAAATTAAAAAAGCCCAGGATGAGGGGCTCTCCCTACCGGCCCTCACCCGGTGACGTAAGGGAGAGCGCGGCCTTCTGGGAAGTGTAGTTCCAAACCGCCCCACACACTCGAGCGTGGAGAATGGTGAAAACACATTTCCCGAGATGCCTCGGGAGGGCGAGTGGCGTTGGCTACTCCCGGCGCGGGCCCAAGAATCCCGGAAGCGGACGACGAATGTGTGCCTGTATCTGTGTTGCTTTAAAACACCTGATTCGCTGCTGGGTTTTTGCTGGAGACCCGCTTGAGAGCCAGTGACTCACTCCTGTGGAACACTAAAGGGTTCGCTCCTCCGAACGCACTTCAGACTCAGATCGATTTGAAAGAATGCGAGTCGCTAAAAATCGCGACAACGGAGTTAGCTGTGTGTGCGTGTCCGGCGCTTTGAGCTGCCTTCACGCCGAGACACTACTAGAAGTTATACTTGTGAAAGCGAGGCCATTTGGGACTCTCCTTAGGTTGTTCCTGGTTCTTTCCTTCTGCCTCACTAGTGCAGCTGGTTCGAACCGGATGTTTTGCAAGATTCAGGAACTTTCTTTGTCATCTCTCCAACTTGTCGGACTCCAGCCCTAATTAGGATCTGGCCACGCTCTGAAGTTATGGCCTCCCGAAACGTGAGACTCTGTGTCCCTGGGTCTGAAATCCACAGTAAGTTCCATAAGTCCAGAAACCAGTTAGAAGAAAGGAACTGGCACTCCGACCTGGAACGCCCCAAGACCAGGTACAGGAAAGGGGATATGTTTAATCCCTTCTCCTCTGGGACTTAGTATAGAGCTCGTTCCTTTGTGTTAGAAACGTTTGGGCCAAAACCAGAAAATTTAAAAAAAAGAAAGAAAGAAAGAAAGAAAGAAAGAAACGGTTGGGCTAATTTAGACACCAAAAATCTTGAAGCAAATTGTTCAGGCTGAAGTTTGAATAGTGTTCCAAGGACAATTTTCAAAACTTTCCACTAACGTTCACATTTTACTGGGTTATTTTCTTGCCTGCCAGGCACACATTGGAGGTGAGAGTGGGCATTGAATAGATGATGGGCCCTTACTGTGGTGTAGTATGTTAAGCTACCGCCTATGGTGCTGGTTTCCCATGTGGGCTCTGGTTCATGTCCTGACTGTTCCACTTCCCATCCAGCTCCCTGCTAATGAGCTTGGAAAAGCAGCAGAGGATGGCTCAAGTGTTCAGGTGCCTGTCACCATCTAGGAGACCTGGATGGAGTTCCTGGCTCCAGGTTTCACCCTGGCTCAAACTTGGCTGTGGTTATTTGGGGAATGAGTCAGCACATGGAAAGGATCCCTCTTCTCTCTCCCCGCCTCCCTCCCACCCCCCTTCTCTTTGTGTTCCTTTCCTTTCAGGTATCTTTTTACTTTAAAAAAAAAAAAAAAAAAGAATGCATAACAGCAGAAAACCCTGTCTTTTGTTGTTGTCAGGTGGTTTTAGTTTATTGGATACCCTGGCCTATAGAAAACTGAGTTTAGAGAAACTTCTTCCATAATATGCTTTTCTTTTTTTTTTTTTTAAGACTTATTTGATTTTTATTGGAAAATCAGATATGTAGAGGGGAGAAGAGACAGAGGAAGATCTTCCATCCAATGATTCACTCCCCAAATGACCCAAATGGCTGGTGTTGTGCCAATCCGAAACTGGGAGCCAGGAACTTCCTCTAGGTCTCCCACGCGGGTGCAATGCAGGGTCCCAAGGCTTTGGGCCTTCCGCCACTGCTTTCCCAGGCCACAAGCAGGGAGCTGGATGGGAAGTGGAGCTGCTGGGATTAGAACTGGCGCCCATTTAGGATCCCAGAGTGTTCAAGGCGAGGACTTTAGCTGCTAGGCCACCACACCGGGCCCCATATGATATGCTTTTCACAAGTCAAGTTTGTGACAAGGAAAGGGAGGTTTTGCTCATGCTCCCAAGTCTGCCCAGACCCCACTGGCTGGCTTCTGTCCCTGTTTGCCACACAGGAGATGCCATTCTCCTTACTTGTTTTTTGTTTTTGTTTTTTCATCACAGATGTCAACTCTCAGCCCAGCACAATACCTTAGTGACTAAATCCTTGCTGGGATCCCATAAAGTTTCCTATCACGTCCCGGCTGCCCCACTTCCTATCCAGGTCCATGCTTGTGGCCTGGGAAAGCAGTCAAGGACAGCCCAAAGCATTGGAACCCTGCACCCATGTGGGAGACCCAGAAAGTCCTGGATCCTGGCTTCGGATCAACTCAGCTCTCGCCATTGTGACCACTTAGGGAGTGAACCAGCAGATGGAGGATCTTTCTATCTCCTCTCAATATATCTGCCTTTCCAATAAAAATAAATAAATATATGTATATTTTTAAATGTCAACTCTGCCACCACGGCCCAGATGACCCAGAACCTGCTGCTAGCCCAGGCAGCCTAGCCATAATCCGTGCCTTCCCTGCTTGCCTGGGCAGGCCCCCTGCCCTGTGCCATTTTCATTCTATTGGTTTCCAGCTCTGCCTGTAAAGTTTAGTGTTGGAAGAACTGTAGTCAGGAAGCTAGAGAGAAACTTGGTTCCAAACTTCCCCATGGCAGGAGGTCCCTGTCCCAGCACGGAAGTCCACAGGCAAGTCCCCCTGCAAGAGTCCCTCCTCTTGCCACCACTTTCCCACCCACTGCCCAAAGCTATTCCTGGGTGGGACAGAAAGGGGAGGGAAAGACAGGGGTCACACCCACCAGCCTGCCCCTGGAAATCCCCATGAATTTCACCAGTCAGCCAGCCTTGTACCTGCCATTGGACAGCTCAGGACTTTCCAGGGTCAGGCAGGTCTGCAGATGTGTGTAAGCCCTGCCCCTTGCCACCTCCAAACCCAGGTGAGCTAGCAGGAGGGACCCGCCTCTTGCAACCTCCATGCTCTCAATCATAAAGCAGTCCCAATAATATGCCTACCACAATGGGGGAGGGAAGGTGCCGTGAGTTTTTAATTCACGCCAGAGCCTGAAGTTGAGCTGTCACTTACTCAGAAAGCATGTGACTTCTTGCATCCTCTGGCCCAGCCATCTGCTTAGCACCTCTCTCTGCCCACTCCACCCAGCTTGCTTTCTCTGCCCAGCCAGCCTTGCCTCCTCGCTGTTACCAGCCACACTCCCATCTCAGGACTGCTGCACTGGCTGTTAGGCCAGTGTCCACGTAACTTGATGTATCACTTCCTTCCAACAGGACTGGGTACTTATGTCACCTCCTCTGTAACTTTCCCTAACCCCCACCCCTTTAAAAATGTCACCCACCCCTCCCCCTCTGTTTCTCCACTGACTTATTACTATCGGACGTGTAGGAGTTGTCCCCAAGAGAAGCTCCTGGGAACAGACAGGACTGTACTCCTGCCCCCAGCAGGGACTCAGGGTGGTGGTACCATAAATATTTGCTGAATAATTACCGAATAGCCGTCCATCGTACATGGTGTTTGGGTCTGTGATGGGCAGAGCTGGCTCTCAGCTGGAGTGGTGGGGGTGGGGTGAGGGTGATTAGGGAAAGCTGTTTATAAGGGAGCAAGGACATGTGAGCCTTGAAGCATGAATGGGGCCCAGACATAGACAGGAGAGAGAAGGAATAGCAACTTGGATACAGGGAACAGCCTGGGCCAAGGTCTAGTTCAGGACTGAATTCAAGAACTCAGAGTGTCTTAGGCACAGGGCAAAAATGGTAGGATGAGGGGAAGGCCAGATTGTTCTACCCCTAATGAGGACTGATCTCAAAGTAGCCCAGTGGCCCCTCCTGGGGCTGGGAGACATCAGAAGAGATCTCGGGCCTATGCACCAGGCTCCCCTCTAGGGTGGGAGTGACTCCCTCTCCAGGGAGTCTTCCAGCAATTCTTGGTCTTGCTGGTACCCACAGTGGGTGTGGCATACCCACATGTCAGCCTCTTCTAAGTGCAGATCACACCCAGGGTGAGGAGCGCTCCACGGAGATGTGAACACACAGCCTCAGCCAGCCCTGCCCCTCTGCTGGACAGCGATGGACACTCTGGTGAAAGGCCCATGCTCGTGGGGACATTGGGAACTCCCTCTGGCTAAGCATCTAGCACAGGCCTGTCTTTCCACCTGCCAGACAGTACTGGTGTAATGGGAGCTGGGAGCTGCCATGCAGTGCCTGGGAAATAGGGGTTTCAGTGGGCCCCAGAACCCTAGGACAAGTTTCCTTAAAGTATGAGGACAGAGCAGACATGAAGGGCCAGGGAGCACCCCATCGCACAAGGCCTCAGCTCCAGGCTGAGCACCCTCCCACCCTGGTAATACAGCACACAGAGCTTCAGGGCAGCCATCCTCAGCCCCAGGTGCAGTTTGGAACCTCTGCAGGTGAAGGCTGAGTGGCAGGGCTCTAAGACACTTCTCAGCCAAGTGTAATCGGCTACTGGGGCTGAAAACTATGGCTCCGGCCCAACATTTACAGAGCGTTTTTACCATGGTGGAAACAGTTTATTGGCACTGTCTGCTGTGGTCACTGTGATCACAGCAAGTGTAGGGTAGATTCTACAATTCATTACATTTACATGTAAATGGCTACATGCGTCCAGCAGCTGCTGTATTGGCTTGTCCAGTCCCAAGTTGGACTGGCTCTGTGACCTTGGTGCTTGGTCTCCTGGTGAGGACATGGGGTACAGATGGGGACATGGTGTCCTGTCAGTGGTAGCTGTGGCTGCTCTTTCCCCTGTGCCAGCTGCCTAGCTTAAGTGTGTGTATGTCAGGATAGTGGAGATGCTAGTCTAACTCCAAGGGCCTGTGTGGGTGGTCAGGAAGCCATTCAGTTCCTCCAGTGTGTGTGTGCCCTGGAGCTGTGTGCCTGTTCTTGGAACTCTAGGCATGTGCGTGGCTCAACAGAGGAGGTAGGTACTTGCCCCAGGGAAGCAAGGAAATCCAGGCCTCCAAGCAAGTGGGGCTCAGTAGTGTTCACTCTGGGTTCCCAGCCCAGTACCACGCTGTCCCTCTGTTGGCAGGGCAGAGTCATCTGGGGATAGGAAGAGAAAGCATGTTGGCCACTAGAAGGGAAATGGGAAGTGGAAGAGCCTCCTGGTTTCCTGCACTGTGACAGACAGTCGGGGGAGCGGGGGCAGGGCTCCTGTCCCCTGATCCTTCGTGGCTGTACCCTCTAAGCCCAGCTACAAAGAGCAGAGAGGCTCGCCCAGGTGACAGAGACTTCCGTGTAATGAGTCATTCCTTGCTCCTGGGCCACAGCATTGGGCCACAGGAGCTGGCAGGGCAAGGCCAAACCTAGTTCCAGATAGAAGGGAACCAAACTGGAGGAGGAAAAAGTGGTGGAGAGATTGAGGGGGGTGGTGATTGCACCTGTGAGTCTCGCTGGTCCTGGGCTCCCTCACTCTATAGCCATCAATGGCTCCTCTTGCCCACTAGCTCTGGCCTTGCTGCCCCTGTGGTCTGGTCTTACTTGCCCATCTCATTAAGACCACCTCATGGGGCCTGGCGCAGTAGCCTAGCAGCTAAAGTCCTCACCTTGCACTCACCAGGATCCCATATGCGCGATGGTTCTAATCCCGGCAACCCCACTTCCCATCAAGCCCCCTGCTTGTGGCCTGGAGAGTAGTTGAGAACAGCCCAAATCCTTGGGCCCCTGCACCTGCGTGGGAGACCTGGAAGAGGTTCCTGGCTCCTGACTTCAGACTGATACAGCTCCAGCTATCGTGGCCACTGTGGGAGTGAATTATCAGACAGAAGATCTTGCTCTCTCTGCTCCTCTCTGTATATCTGACTTGTCAA